AACTGAAATCTGCTACAACGTGCTGGGTGCCACATGGCTCTGGGAGCAAGCAAATCTCTCCTAGGACTGCCTTCAGATGCAATATCTCTCATGGCCTATATTTAAAAGTCATATTTTGACTTTTAAGTATTCATCTCAGCATGCTTTTGTCATGTTTAACCTGTACAAGACAGTCTTGTGTTCCTTTCTGGTAGGGATACATCCCTGAAGTCACTGCAGTAGCAGCTTTATTTTCACAAATTCAGACTTATTTCAGAATAGTACTAAAGTTTCTTGTTTTCCAAAGCTGCCCCATGGTATTTCAGCCTGGCTCTGTGCTGGTCACCAAAGCCCAGTGCAGCAGGGATTTATCTGGCCAGCATCTCTGCCCAGCAGAGCAGACACAGCCAAAGTGTTCAGTGTGCTGTGATTCTCACTTCAACACTTCCAGAAATAGTAATGTTGTACATTTAGTCAGGATCTGGTCAAGGAAAGTGCATCTCTAATAACCATCAAAGTACAAAGGCAGTCAAATGTTAACATTTGACTTCTTTCCACCCCTTTGTCTCACACTGCTCTAAGGAAGCTTTATAAACCATGCTGAGGAGGGGAGAGTCTAGCACTGAAAAAAATGCAAGATAGGCTCTTCTATTTCTTCTTTCCTGAAGAGAGAACAGCCTCCACTGAAGCAGGGAAACAGAAAATGAACCTCTGAGGCAGTCATGCAAAATTTCAGACAGATCCTTACTTGTGTGATTCTGTTTAATCACCGTCCATTTCCTCTTTACTCTTTAACTAAATAATAAATATGGAGGGGCTTTTTTCATTACCATATGAGCTAGAACTGGTCCTGGAGCAAATATGCAAATAAGGGGTGAGGCTTGAAATCAGAGGGTTTCACTAATTTTAAATACGAGGCACCTGTCTGTGTACATTTCTAATCCAGTAATTAATCCACCACCTTTTTATCTTAGGAACTCTCAGGAGTAATTTCCACATCTGAGTGTAGCACACATCATAAATCCACTCCAAATGATTTTTTAATTTGTCCTTTCCAATTCTGGTTTGAATTGACATTTTGTTCTGGTTGAAGTGGCATCCACAGACACCTTCTCCCCTGCAATTAGCTGAGATTAAGCAGTTGGAGAACCAGCACAGTGAAGATCAGAAATGCTCATAGTTACTGATGTTTTGATCATACTTAACAGCAGAACAGCAGTAGGCTGTAGTTGATGACTTTAAGATGCATAAATAAATGTATTTCTGTGACTGCATTAAAATGATCTGTAGGAGGCTGTGCCAGCAAGTGGACCAAGTGGTTTTTTACTGCTAACAAGCAGCTTAGTGCTGGAGTTTGTCTGCAGCTTCAGTGCAAAACTCACAGATCCTCATCACTTCCTTTGGTTATAGCTTCCTGTGCTACTTAATGACATGCTAAAAAATAACTCAGTGTGTTCCAGTTACAGATTTGGATTTATTTAATCATTGGCAATCTGAAAGCATTCAGAGCTCTGGGTTATTAGTATTTTATATAAATGCCACCGATGAACCTTAGGAGCATGTGTCCCAACCACCCCAGCAATGTGAACAGCCTGAGACAGGCAGCACGGCTCGAGGTTTGAGTCACACCCTATTCATTGAATTTAATAGCAGTTGAGCAGCTAAAAAGCCCTTATCAGAGCTGTGGGAGTGTGTCCTGGGGTGAGTGTACAGTGGCCACAAATGCCTGAATCCTATCAGCCAGCGCCGGCTGCTCGGCTGCAGCCTGGGCAGGGCGCAGGGACAGGCAGCAAAGCTGGGCACATGGCTGAGCCAATATGAGCATTCAGAAACTGAGACTATCAGTGCACTTGCACACCTCAAGTGCTTCTTAGAAACTTTATTGTTCAGTTTCTGGAACTGGCAGTCCAGGGTTGAGATGCTGTGAGAACAACCAGTTGTAGAGTGCTTTGGCCCTTGTATTTCCTCCAGTCCTGGGAAGATCAGACAGACAAATGATAAATTAAATAAACAGAACCCCCCAAATTCACTGAAGTCTTTCATATACCTCTCCCCCAAAATTTTTGGCCTATGTTTTAAATTCCCCAGCTGCTCAACAGCTGTTTGTAATCCTGCTGCTCTTTTTTCCCCCGAGCTTGCTCCTTATCTCTGTCAGCATATTGTGGGATGCTTTGCCCCTCACTGAGGGAACATTTATGTACTGAAATCAAAGCCACATGAATGATGGGCTGATCATCTTATCCTGCAGTCACTAAAATTCCCTGGCAGTCACATGTGTCTTTGCATATATGGGAAATGTGGATGTATCAACACACTGAATTGCTTGAATAAGAGAGTAACCCAGGAGATCAAGGCACCTACAGGGGAGGCTCAGAGCAGGAGCTGAGAAAGAGAGGAGAATCAACAGAGATGGGAAATGGGAAAAGTGTAACAAGATAAAATATTTTTCTTAAAAGTTGGAGAAGGAAACAGTAAAAAATCATTTTGTCTTGAGGGACTTCCAGCACATGGACTCCTGTGGTAGATCTTTCCTGGAAGGATTGCATCTGTTTTTCATAATAGTTGTTAAGCAGTACCTTTAAATGAATTTGCATAAGAAGGAAGTATCATTATCTTCATTATACTTGTGGGAAAGCTTAGGAAAAGAGAACTGGTTTGCTTAAAGTTATTCTTTCCACCAGCTGAAACAGCAATAGCCTCTTGAGTCACTCTTCACTGCTTCCTTGGCAGAGATCTTGCTCTGCTGTGCCATCAGTTCTCAGTATGTGCAGACAAAGGCTAAGTGGTTTTGGTAGACATTTCTCACTGTTGTTCAGCTAGATGTATTTGCTAAGTAGAAGTGATCATTTTCTACTTTTGTTGTCCAAATGTCATGGTACCTTTCCCACGACTCTGTGGTTTAATTATAAAAAATGCTGCTCACCACTGTTTCAGGTTTTTAAAAAATGTTTCCTCACAGAGTCCCAGTAAAAATATGGGCCAGTTCCCAGATGGCTAATACAACCCAAAGAGCATCCTCTGAATGATGCTGCACTTAGCATCCCAGACAAGAGGGATGTACAAGAGGACAGCACACATGGTCATGGAAATGGTTTCCTGACAGTGTTGGCGCAACCAGAAAATTTGAGACCAGTGGGATCTGAGACATTTCTGAGACTTCCACATTTTTGCTTATTAATTTTTTTTTTTCTCTATTGGCTGTTCCCAGTTTCTCCCAAACTCTAGTTTGAAAAGCCACAATAGTCCAAGTCAGGTGATTACTGCAGTGTCTTAATTTGTGAGGTGCTGACAACTGGGCACGAGGACCCTCCACATCCCCTGCTGCTGGGATGAGGTGGCTGCTGAGGGAGATGGCAGTGAAACAGCCACTCTTCCCCAAACTCAGATGCTGTAGCAGCATCACTGTAACAGTATTTACAAACAATATTTTGTATATGATGGAGATTGAGGTTGGGTGGAAACTGGTTTTGGTCATGGCCAAGCAATCCATTTGATACCTGTCCCAGCCTGCTGCTGACGCACATGCACCCATCTTAAATTCTAAAAAAGCAGGAATAAAGAGAAGAGGCAATGGTTGCTGAGGCCCCTGCTGCCCATGTGCTGGCAGGTCACAACTGGCTTTGCTGCTCTACATGTGTTTGCTGCCTCTGCTAATCCCAATAGGCTGAAGCAATTTATTATTCCTCTCCCTTCTTGCAAACCACCCACTGGCAGCAGCCAGTCAATCCATTGCTTCCACCAGCACTGGGGACCGTGCACAGAGCCAGCTGCTCATACCAGAGGTGCCACCAGCCCCACAGCCTCTGGCACACTGGTGTCCCTCAGTGGCAGAAGCACTCAGCCCCACAGCCCACTGGGGACTGAGGAGCATCAGCTTCACAAGTAGAAGCCTTCTGGTCCAGATGAGGAGCTGGCATGGAAAAAATACACAGGACAGTTGGCAATGTGGGCAAAAGCTTCATGTCTGTAAATGCAGCACTCCTTTTCCTTGAATGCAGAGGCCATCATGTTCTGCCATCCATTATTTTTCCATTGGGTTAGAGGGAAACTGTGGAAGGTCTGCTTCAGGGGGAAGGTGACCTCCAGTGAAACCCTCCGAGGGTGAGGGAGTGAGCAGATCCTGAGGATTTCCTTGCTGCTCCTTCTTGTTCTTTTACAGCCAAAATACCCAGGGGTAAAGTAGCAGTGCAAAGAGCACTAAGAGTGATTCTGATAATGAACTTCAGTTTTTCTCTTTTCATAATAATGAAGGTGAAGTTCTTTTGAAATATCATTATCTTCTGTATGTACTGCATATCTGCAGGACTCAGTTCATCATGGTCCAGGACAAGTGCTTTAGCTGCTTGCCCTGTGCCACCCCAGGGGCTGCTGCCTTGCACTCAAATATGGAATATTACAGAAGTGATAAAAGATCTTGGTATGACACAAGGCAGGAAAGCACCTCACTTCAGGGAGACTGTAGGAGGAATTTCAGCCAGCAATGAACAACTAGCAAGTTTTGATTTGCCTTTGATCCAGAGTATAAACCTCTAGCTTTTCAGAATTTTTCAGTGAAATGTTATGATAACAATTCAAAATCTCACTTCTGAAATTATTCAGGAAATGTCACTGAATATCACAGTAAAGCATTGGACTGGTCTGCATCATGCAGCTGAGTCTTTGATGACACTTACTGAACCAAGCTTTTTCAAATATCCATCCATCACAACTCGATTCTAAAATGAGAAATTGTACTGGTTCTTAAAAAGACAGAGCACCTTTCTTCTTTTTAAATATATAAGGGAAATAGAAGGGGAACATGAGCTCAGTGTGTGCTTTGTGTAAGGTTTGATGGATGCAAAAAGAAAACCATGCAAGAAGCTCCTTCCTTTCTGCACTGCGCTGCTTTCTTGGGCTGTTATCGCATCTAATTTTGCATCCAATTTAAAGGACTGTAAATGCAAGCTTTGGCATCAACACAGCCTCTCACGTCCTTTCAAAAAACACTCAATTACTGTCATTCTTGTGTTTATTTTGCCCAGTGAACAGCAGCAAGCACATAGTGAGGAAATACCGTGGGCACCTGCGGACAAAGATCGAGTCTGGCGAAGGGACCATCCCAGTGCGGTGCCCCAACGCAGCGCAGACGTGGGACGGCGTGCTGCTGGGAGAGCAGCTCATCACCATGTCCTGCACTGACAAAATCGCCAGGTACGTGATGGGCACACCTGGCACAAGTCTTTGCATGTGGAAGCTCGGTGCCACAGAGGATTATGGTGGCCAGAGGGAAGCAGCCGGCAGGTGCTGACCAGCCCTGCAGAAACAAAGATCTCCTTTGTATGCAAAAGCAGACCATGTAAATAGGAGGGAATGTAAATAGGACGTTTTCCCAAATTCTCTGTGGGTCATTAGATGCTTATTACAGTGTGACAAAAAAATAAACTGTCTTTGCAGGTTTTTCTGCCAATAGAATTTCACTGTGCAAATAAAATACATCCACTTCGCTGTTCTTGGATCATTTACCCCAAAACTTGCAAACCAACTATCTTACAGATAAACTTGGCTCGTCTGCACCAAATTGAAAGAAGTGCCCTAAAAGCCACCAGGAATATTTCTACGATTTTGAATGTCATTGAAGAGCTCTCCTGTCACAGCCCCCTCTGTGGGTTTCTGCTATGCCCTATAAATACAATATATATTTATGTAGAATAATTTCCATGCAATGAATATTTCATAATTATTCCCTGATGACAAATAAAATGTAAATACATTCACCATTCTCAGTTTAGGGTGTTAACTAATAGCAAGTGGTGGCTAATACAATCCAAAATCAAAATGTGTGTGCTTGGTTGCACAGTTATTGCACTATTAGTACATATCTATACATGTATGTTTATCTTTATAATTTATACATATATATGTGTATGTGTGTATATATATATATGTATAAAATGTACATTATATATAGATGCAGTTCTACATATAAAATAACTCATATTATATCTATTAAAAAACATAAATGCTATGATCAAATTCTCTGCTAGAATATCATGCCTAAGAACTCAGTTAAATTCCATTAGTCAAAAATTTGGCCAAATTATTAAAGGCCAACATAGACATTACCTTTCAATAAAAATCATAGAAATTTTGTTTAATCCAAATGCATAAATTCTGCTCTTAGCTTTAACTGGATGACCTACCAAAGCTAAATTAGTCTAATTAGCAAAGCCTGCCATTTTGTCACAAAAATGTAGAAGGGAACCAGCAAATGGAAATACTACCAGATACACAAAATCCACCCTCTGCTAAGCACAATCATCACAACTGTTGTGCTTGCATGAAGGATAAAGAGCAACTTCTGCTGTCATGTTTTCATTTACTCGTAAGGAGATAACAGAAAACCCAACCTGTGTTCAGTGGATTTCCTCCACTGTGCATAGATGCAGTTGGATTTTCCAAATTCAGACTCATACGGAATCAAAAAACTAAACAATTTTAAGTTCAAGAATATAAAAATTGCACTCTCTGTGGTTTTTAATGTCATTAGCCAGTGAATTAAATATCAGCTTTGCACACATTATTACATTTCCTGTTGATGGGGGTGTTGACAGCAATGCACAGTCTCAGGAGTTGGGTTTTCTCCAAGCACATCTGCTAAGCACTTTGAGTGAATCCTTTCATTATTGACACACATCTAAACAGCACTGAAGTCTTTGAAGAAAAGAAGAATCTACTACAAAGTTTTTCCAAGATAAAAAAAAGAAAATTGCATCTCTCATCATTGATGGTATTATTTCAATATTGTAAGAAAAACTGCACTTTTTATTATTTTATTTTTATTATTTATTTTCAGTGTAATTCAAATGAGCTTGGGATCCTTTTTATTTTATTTTTATTATTTATTTTCAGTGTAATTCAAATGAGCTTGGGATTTTTATAGATTAAAAAAAAAAATAAAACAGCAACCATTATTCCCGGCTTTCAACAGCATATGTTGCAGTTTAAAAAGAGGCTGAGAAAATCTGCATTATACTTTATCCCAAATTTCAGTTTACCACATTAAATGCCATCTATGATTATTTTTTGTCATTATTATCCCCATGTGTCAGGGGATAAATCAAAGGTTTCTTCACCTGTCCTTTGTTTCAGCACATGTAGGACTCTTTTCTGCCTTCTTCTCCTCTGGTCATGGAGAGCAGAGGCAGGAAAGGAGTTCAGTGGAAAAGGAGATTTCTCCATGAGGGCCTTTCCCAGCCCTGCCCCACCGCAGAGATCAGTGGGTGGTGACCACACATCATTTCAAACTGCAAATATTTGCCCTACCACATCGCTAGCTGACTCTTTAAATGTCTGCAGGATGCAGGAATCTGGTTGCACGTTATCTGAGCTTGTCTTGCAGTGAGAAGAAAAGAGATCTCTGAAGCTGAAATTCATGTTTGTATAAGCAAGATTTGACAAAAAAAAATCTCGCTTGTATGCTTTGGATTTTATTGCTTGTAAAAGTCCCTCAGGAGCATTGTGCTATTAGAGAATGTTTCCTCTTGAGAATCTAGCCAGTAGCTGCTAAAATATACATCATTTTGCATTATTTGCAAAGGGCATTGCTATCAGAATATCAAAGACCCAAGAATGCACAGAGTTACTGAGAAAAGCGAATAATATTCTATAAATCATGTATCTAACGATTTATGTTCTTTCTTGCTCACAGGAAAGCTATAAGCAGAGAGTGGTTTAATCAGATTTATTTAGCCGTTTTTATTACTATCACCACAAGTTTGAGAGAATTTGATGCTTGGTATGCATTATTTGGGCTCTATGGCTTTGTTGAGATCTCAGGATAAACACCCTGGTATCATACCTGTTCCCTCACTGAATTAAAGCACAAGTTCTGTGGTATGAATAGTCATTTTATTTGGCTCAGGCAGGGAACTACGAGGTGAAATTCTGCAACTTGGTTATAAAGAAGGTCACCCTAGATCTCCGTTGTTCCTTCTGGCTTTAAAACCTATGCATTTATATGTGAAAATTTAAAGTTTGGGGTCTGTGAGTCCCCACATAAACCACCCAAAGAGAGTGTCAGCTTTTACACACATTACTCCTGTGAGCCTCACAGTGCAGCTGGAGTGACTTCAGGATCTCAGTGCCATAGAATTTAGGATTAAACCACATTTTTTAGCCCACAGTTTATTAATTATACTAACACCTTTTGACCTTCATTCTCGTCCGTAATATACATTTTATACATTTGCAAAAAAAGTAACAATAACATGGGAAAAATAATTTTGAAAATAATCATCTGTTTGGGGAAAAAATTATGTCATTTAATGTTTTCTAGATGCTAATCATAACCTATATTAAAACCTTTATGTCGACAGAGACATTACGGCCCTAAGATAATTTCTGGTTTTTGTGACAGCAAAATTCATACAATGGGCCAAATTAAACCTCTTTTCATCTCCCTGTCTCACACTAAGGCTGGATGCAGGACTAGCTCATACCTTGCTTATTACAAGGTCAGTGCAAGGTTAATGCTGCTGCTAATGGAAGTCTCTGCAGTCACTGTTTGGGAGCAGACAAATGTTTGAAGGAAAATTGTTCCATGCACACATGTGCACACAGAGCCATGCACACACACACACACACACACACAAACACACATTTTTAGGGGGGAAAGAAACAAGGGTATCCCTAGAGCTCAGCTCTTCTTTCAGGCTATAAACATGGTAAGCAATCCTTAGGGAGGCTCAGCACTACACTCTGTGTCTGATCCTCAGAAATGTTCAGGACTGGTATGTGTTCAGCTGATATGTGCCAGCTGCAGGGGTGGGATTTGCAGCACCCTCCTGGTGCCCCAGAGCTTCGGGACACTGTGTCTCTGTGTCCCTTCACTGACATGACGAAGCCAGCCCAGCACTGGGTGTCTCCTCCCTGCTGGCTCCCCGCAGCACACAGTGTGTAAGTCTGTGTCAGATTTGCAGGTAGCAGTCCACATGGCTGCATATATAAAATCAGCATTACCAAATGTCTCTACTTCTTATTCCTACAGCAGAATAAATATGAAAATCTGGGCAAAATATCAAAGACTTATGCACTTCTCTTTAGTCCATCACCCCTCTGGACAGACTTATAAGGGAAATTCAGAGAGAAACCACCTTCCCTTCCACACTTTGTCCTCTGACTCATGGAAGCTCTGTCTGAGCTTCAGGCCAGTCTCCCTCCACCATGGCTCATCCTCTAGGCTCACCATAACTCAGATTTAGCAGTACACACACCTCCCTTCTGTATAAAGTTTCCTGTCCCATGCTCTGGGCTCATCAAGTTTATTTATCTCATCACCAGCACCTGGGCTCCTTCTTCTTCCATGCAGAAAACTGGAGAAATCTTTTCCCCCAGTGCCAACCCTTCTGAAACAGCAGGGTGCTCTGCCCTGGGTAGCTGCACAGAGAGGTTTGGTGCTTGCCATTGCCGGTGGTTTGGCAGAGCATGGCAGTGGAGCTGGGAGCACAGGGAGGACACCACGGCTCCCCAGAGCACGGCAGGCGTTCCCAGACCCTGGGTCACCTCCTCACCTTGATGTGTGAAAATCATTTTAGGATCTTGGTGCAAGCATTCAACAGTAGGGTTCATTCCAAAAATTAGTTCTTATCTGGGTGTCCCAGGAGAGAGCTCTGCATTGCTCTACTCTTCCCCAAACTCTCTTCCATGACAGACCTCAGATGGGACTGGACACCTCACACCCTGGCCAGGGCAGAGCACACTGTGGCTCACTAGATGTCAAGCTGATGTAGTTATTTTGGAGAGCTGACAGCCTTCTGTGCAGCAAATTTGCATCTAAACACACAAAGACTGTGTAAACTTATTTGTAAATGGATGAGCAGTGCTACTTGTCCTCTTTCAGAGTCCCCTTGCAGGATGCAGGCTGAGGAATGTACTTTGCATTGTGCAGGATTTGCAGGGAGTAATCCTCATAAACACTGTCTTTAAACAGCACATAAAAGCCAGAATTCAGTGTTTGTTTTATAAGCTCTGGCCTTAAAATTGTTTTCTTACTACCACTTCTCAAAAGGTCACCTTTAAAAGACTGTGTATTTTCTTGCCACCAGGTTAATGGTCATCTACTTCCTCAAACTTCACCAAAAAAGTGACATTCAGCCCAGAAGTAAAAAATGCTTGAGTATCTAAATAACCACATCTACAAAACAACACAAACA